AGATCGGGACACTTATACGTCCGGACTTTTAAAAAATATTCAGCGGGACAATTTTCTCAAAATCGGTACTGTCCCGCCAAAATCGGTACGAGTGGTCACCGTACAAATATCTTTTAGTTTTTTTACATCCATTTTTTGACTTAAAACTGCTATTTTAAAATCTTTTACTAAATCTGAGACTATTTTATAATTACAGATTAACAAGGGACGAATTTTATATGGCCAATCTCTTGTTCTAATTACAGATTATGGTGTTAAGCTCGAAAATGAGGATAATCTACTTTTATGTGAACCTAGTATTAGAAGCCTAGGCCAATCGCAGCGCATTATCTATTTTACAACGACGAACACCTCTGGATGTGGTTTGTGCAACATAGCGTACTAAAAGGCCCTACACACGCATTGATTTATCGGCCAACCAGTTGACCAACATATTTAACGAAATTCCCTACACACGCACCAAACAGTTGGCCGATTTCATTTGAGTGAGAGTTTTTGAACTGTGATCAACACAACAGCACTGGCAAACTTTTAAGCTATGCTAGGAATGCTTCCCATTTTTATGTATTTGTTATTGCTACCGTCCCCGTTTTCACAAATGATACGCATTTTCACTAGCGAAACGAACCAAAAAACATATGTTAACGTTAATGCGCTTTTAAAAAATTAAACACATTTTAGGTTTCCAACGTGTCTACACACAGAGCAAGCAACAAGTTGACCAATCTGCCTCAAAAGTAGAGCTGGAAAACTATCGATGGCACTATCGATAGTCTCCGACTATCGAAGACATCGAGGGTTTTGTAAGTACTATCGATAGTTTTCACTCATACATACATTATTCAGCAACATACATATTTCAGAACATAGATGCTGCTTGAAGCCAAAAATCGTTGATAAACTTTTGTTTCTTAACCAAAATATCGACATACTTATTTAAGTAATTCTGATCTCATTTTCAATAAAAGCTGTTATGTTGAATTTTTGGACTTTTTTAATCAAAACTATCGATAGTACATTCGATAGTGTCGACATGTTCGACTATCGAAACTATCGATGGTCGTGGCTCTACTCAAAAATCATAAATTTTTGATTTTACCAAAGAACGTAGCTAAAGCGAAGCGCACATTGGCGCGATTCTGTCGTTGCGAATCCGCAAGCCCAAAAATTACAACAATGCTACCCATACATTTTAATGCGCTAGCGCACACTTGCACGATTCCGTCGCTGCGAATTTTTCGAACATTCAATGTTCTCTATTGACGCGTTCGAAACGCGGCTTGCAGCGTTTTGAAGGCGTCAAAGAAGAAGAAGAAAGGTGTCACAGCAATAAAGGCAAAGAAAAAAAAACGTGTAATGTACAAAAACTAATAAAAACGTTCGTAATAATAGTATTTTGTACGATTTGGGCACGCCGAGTGCGAAAATACACGAAATAAAGGGAAAATTTAGTGAATTGTACATCGGAAATCGACGCGAAAAAATCGCTCAAGTGTGCGCAGGTTTGCGGATTCGAAGTTAACAGCCGAATTCGCAGGGTATTCGCAACGACAGAATCGCGCCAATGTGCGCTTCGCTTAAGACTAGTGTTCGTCCGATGCCACCATGTACTCGATGCCTGTGTTCAATAAAAGTATCGAAGAGAATACTCGATGCTACTCAAATTATCACTAGGAAATACTACTTGTACTCGAAAGAACTCACACAAGAAATTTTAATTCAATGCCCATTTACAATATAACGACATACAATGGAGAAAAGCTTATGAAGAGCTGAAAATGCTTTTTCTTATCCTTCTATTTTGAAATGGGGTTACTTGGAAGTGCTGAAATAGAAGATGTCAAGTTAGTCCCCTTTCAGACACGTCAAGTCTTGAAAGCAATTTTTTTAGCATTGCTTCCACACGCGTAAACTTTAATTGAATTCAAGTCCTTGGTTCTTTAAATGGGAAGCAACGAAAAGATCAAAAGAGACAAGAAAACTTGAAACGAATTGACGGTACGGAGGTATCTGTACTCTTCCCCTCTCTTCTCACCTCCTTCGCCTGACGTGTCTGAAAGGGGACTAATGAGAAAGCTCATTGTTTACTTGTGTTTGATTCTTCGGTTTCAAAACGAGCTATAGACGACGTTTCCGCAAATCATAGGCTGGCTCCACATCCTCCTCTAATTCCATACGATTTTCGCTCTCCACTTTCGTTAGTTTAAGCCCCAGGGATATCGAGTGGTTCACATCTTGAGTCGTTTTTTTCAAAAACTACAACGCAGATCTATTTTCAATTGATTTTCCCAAATTTAGCATACAAGTGAATACTTGCACTTTGTACTCGATACCCATGAAGTACTTGTTCAAGCGTATCGAAGTACAAAAATACTCGGTACTTGGTAGAGGTACTCGAGCATATATATCTCTAAGTACTGGTATCGGAACATCACTAGCTAAGACCCCTTTTAGACACGATTGAGAGAATACAAAGGTTGCGCCGATCTCGGACCGCTATTCCTCTGTTAACGAATTTGACAGAATCGTTGTTTGCATGACGTTACACTTGTGCAACTTGTTTACGTTTTCCTTGCAACATTTTTTCTTCTTCTTCCATTCTTGCTCACGTTTTGGCATTTCTCTCTCGCAATTGCACCAGTGTGACGTCACACGAAATTTATTCTCAAAAATCCTCTCTGATCGGTGCCTTTAAGACACGTCAAGTCGTGCTTTCAAGTCTGCTCGGATCCTTTGGCGAAAGAGAGGGGAAAGTACATTCGTCTCACCTCCTTCGCCTACGAACGAGCAGACTTGAAATCAAAACTTGACGTGTCTGAAAGGGGTCTAACGTAGATTCTTTTGTGATACTCAGCTGGATAACCCAAATAAACACAACTAATTTGTTTTACAACGCTAGAGAATTTCATGATAGATAAATTACACCAAAAAGCAAACGCAGTTTGAAACTCAGATAGGAACGTTCCGATACCATCAAAGTATCGATACCTACTCAAATGAGTTTACTCAAATCGGTATTGCGATACTACTTATATGAGTCAACCGAATGTATCGATACCTACTTATATCGATAATTTTTCATCCTTTTACATGCAACAAAGCGAAATTATTTTTCAGACGTTATCTGTGACATACCTTGAGCGGCACCTGAGTGTCAGATCGACCTATCTCGGCAGAGAGTCCGAAATTTTCAATGTTTTCTGTTGAGGTATCGATATGTATGTATATTTCTTCATTAGTAGCACTAGAAGTAATACGATTACTTAGACAAAAAATTCAACCTTTGAAAGGTTCTCACAAAACTTTACGGCTACAATGCATTGCTTGCACTTTATTGTGGTATCACTAGCTTTGTAAAATTATATCCACACTTTACTGGCCGTCTCCACAGGATAAAATTTATTGCTGTCCAGCTGTAATTTTGGTCACTAGATATAAGTTATATCAGTGGCAATATTTGTGTGGGCTTTTTATATCTTGATATAAGCATTTGTAAGATAGCTTCTAAAACGCAGTTTTGCCGGATTTAATCACTTATAAAATTTAAAAAAATATACTATTTTACACCCAAGTACATAATAACAAATATTTTGGGTACTGTTTAGTATGTGGCCCACCTATTTCGGGGTATTGCGTCCAAAGGGGTGACCCGATCCAAAAAAAAATTGCACACACTTGTAGCCAAGGGTCTACACCTTATTTTAACATCCACTATTGTATTTTTGGGTCACTAATTTATTTACAAATTGGGTTTGAAATATGCCCTTTTTTGTAAAATTCGGAAATTAGCGTAAATTTATCACTCCTATTCTCCTTAAAGCAGCTACATCAGCAATATATTTTTATATTCTCCTTCACTTTACACTTTACTCGATGAGCTATAACTTTCTTTATAACTTTAATATTAACCAATTAATCACAATTTATTAAATAAAAACACCTTCTAAATCATGCGTCTGACTTTTGTTGCATATACAAATTAAATGGCGTAGTTCAGCTGTCAAACTCCAAAATATGCAAAAGAATGAGAGACAAAAGAAAATAGGATATAACCCTGTAAGCATTAAAAATATACAAAGGTGTTCTCTGTAAAAGGTATTCAGCTCCTTTTCTTCGCAAAACAGAAAGGAGAATTCTACTGCCTGAGGGTTATAATCCCTAAGTGCGGCCGAAGGCCGCCTACGTAGAAAGGTGTTCTCTGCAAAAGGTGTTTAGCCCTCCTTTTTTCGCCTGATAACCACCTTGGGATAACTTCTTTTATTTAAAAACCCCACAGATTCTGTTAGTTGGGTTATATTCCACTTCAAACTGCTCAGTTTGCCTCGGAAAACGCCGTTTTTACCCCATTTTCAAACGGTTCCCTAGGGGTCTGTGGGAGGTCCCCAACGGGGGGTGGGGCTTTTCGTAAAGTGGCGACTGGTCCCTTTCGAATGAGGGGGATTTAGGGGGCCACGCCCCCTCCCCCTCCGCCCCCCAACCCAAAAACGATGGGCCAATAACTAAACATTTCCCAATATTTTGACAGAAAACAGCTCAATTTTTGCTTTTATATTAAAATATCAATATTGTTGCCGACACGAAGTTTTCGTGCAAATGAAAATGTAGCGGTCAAACTACCAAATTGCCGGCAATAGATGGCAAGATATAAGCTCTGATATATTTTGCTCTTGAAGAGCAATGAGCGGTCTCCATTGGCTATTTATATTCTAACATATGTATCAAGATATAAACTTTATCCTGTGGAGACGGGCAGTTAGATTTTGGCGGTGTCATTGCTTAAAGAAATTATTTTTCATAAAAACGAAGCAATTATTTTCCATAGAACAAATACTGTCGACAAGATATGGCACCTGTTCAAATCGATTCGATACAAGTACTTTTCTTTCGATACCAAGTAGGTATCGAAACAACGATTCGAGTAAAAAAAGTTGTTGGTATTGAAACAAAAGTATCGAGTAGATACTCGTATTTACTTGTATCGGAACATCCCTAAACTCAGACAGCTGATAACAGCTTATTCCCAAACAATTTGCATTTGCTGTTCAAACAATTAGAAAACGCAAATGGGCAGAATGCCCATGTGTCGAATTTGTTTTAAAGAAAGTTTGGATAACTTTTCTATTTTTAAATATGTGAAGAAAAACTACTTGCCCAGCATCATTTATCATATCAGTGGAGTGAAGGTACGTGCATACTCACATACCATACATAAATCACACAACTTGAATCAGAAGTAAACGTTCTAATGAAATACTAATTTCAACAGGTATCTAAAGAGCATGACAACGATGCGCAAATTTGTCAGCATTGCGCTGCATCAGTATTGGTCGCCCAAAATATTATATTGCGGATCCAAGAATCGGAGGAATTCTTCCAATTTCAACGATTACAGGATAGTTGCTTGCAAAAGCTACCTCATAGTACTTCTACTAATGAATACTCCCTACTAAATGATTATGAAGTATCCCAAGCTGCTTCCACCAGCAGTGGGGCAAACGTAATAACAGAAGTTGAGCCAATTATATCAAATAGGTCTGAAGAAATCGACACAAACTGTTCATCTCTTTGTGAGCCAGCGTCTAAACGCAGCAAAAATGGTGTCACTACATCGTCACATATATTTAACTGTGATCACTGCGATTATAGCACAAAGATAGGTAAACGTATAATAGAACATAGACAAACTAAACATGGTGTCTGTGACCCGAACATCTACGCCTGCAACCTGTGCACCCAAAGTTTTTCGTGGAAGCCGACACTCTACCGACACATAGAACTTGTCCATAAAACACTGCCGGCAGAAAAAAAGTATCTGTGCAATGAATGTGGGCGCGCCTATATGCGTGAAATACACCTTGTAGAGCATGTAAAACAACGGCATGGACCACGCAACTTCAAATGTCCTGATCCACTATGTGAGCAATCATTCACTCGCACATTTACTCTACGACGTCATTTTATAACTTCTCATACAGAACAAACTAGCAGACGCTATCATTGCGTGGATTGCGATAAGTACTTTAAAGTCTACGATCAGTGGAAGTATCATAACGAAGTGATACACAAAAATGAGACAGTATATTGTTCACATTGTGGATACCCTTTCCGATTTAGGCAAAAGTTGGAGGAACATCTTTTGAAGGACGTTTGTAAACGAAGTATTGTGCCATGCTCTTATTGCCAGAGACGCTTTACAACGAAAAGTGGACTTAGGGAACACGTACGAAATATACATAATAGGAATCATTTTATAGCAAAAGAAAAAAAATGAAAGGAATCATTTTGTTGAAAATCTCTTATACTCGTCTGTATAAAAGATTAACGAATGTTTTTTTTTGGAAGGTTTTAGAAAATCGCGATAGAAGTTTGGAACACAATTTCTCAAAAACAGCGAAATATTTTTCCACAGTCTCGGACAATGTAACTAGTTCACGAAATCTTAGGATTATTTTACTTTTATTGTTTATTTTTAATTATTTTAATAGTTTGTGAGGATTTTCTTTGGTAAAATTTTGTCGTATTTTTTATTTTTTGGTCATCAATTTTGCAGCCACATCATATGACTTACGACAAAATGTGATAACAATTTGTACTAGCTTTTTACTCCATATTTCGGAAACTAAAAGAGCTATCCAAAAATGGATAACGCCATTTGAAAGATCTTGATTAGTTTAGTATGACTGTATTATTAACTCAATTTATACTAAATTACCAATAAAATGTTAGTCAATATCTTAGAAACTGACGGGAAAAATCAAAAATTGATAAACACCAATAGAAAGATATTATTTTAAAATACAAAACTGCATCTAGAACTAAAAATCTTCAGGCCCATGTACCTACCTATGTACAATGGCGGTCAAAAATGGAGTAATGATGTTTTTAATATTTACAATTTTTTCAAGCTAAAATTTTTTGAGCGGCTAAAAAATCGCATTAATATTTAATATTTTTTTTGTCGGCGTTTTGCACTTTGCATAAACATGAGTTTATTGTAGAAGAATATGCGCAAAAAAGTCAATGCCAGTTTTACTAAATTTCGCTATTTATTTGAAAAAAAAAACGCAAAAGCCGTCTGCAAAAAAATATATAAAAAAATGAATGCGATTTTATAGCCGCTCAAAACTCGCTAACCCGAAAAATTGCTAAAAATTCTGGCTAAAAAACTCAAAATTTAAATAAAAGTTCAAGTTCTATATAAAATTTGAAAGTGTGATTTATATAGTTTTTGTTATAGTATTAACCATATTTTTATAAAAAAATATCAAAAAAATTATAGCTACCGCGACTGTACATAAATGATAATACATAGTAACATCATACAAATTCCCCAAATGGTTTTAAATTTTTGGTCGTTCCGACCATGTAAAACCAACTGTTATTGGAACTCAGCGTCATAGATTCGCCAATGGTTGGTGAGTGGCGAAACGAACGAACTCAATGAGGTACCACCAAACCCGCTATCGTCCATCCTTGCTAGCTAACTTTATTGTTGCTTTCACATGCAAAATGTTTCGCTAAGCGACCGGGAAGCTGGATTCTGTAACTGTGAGAAAATGTAGTGTACACCGAGTGCAAAACTCATAACCAAAATAAAATAAAATTCAGTGAGTTTTTCGGAAGAGAAGTGTACACAATTTTGACAGTTAAAACTCATTCTCACCCTTGCTGAATTACAAAATGAGGAAGTGTACACAATTTTTACAGCTAAAACTCATTCTCACACTTCCTGAATCGCAAAATGAAGAGTTTCCACAATTTTCAGTGTACACTTGAAAACTCACAGTTACAGCATCCAGCCCGGAACTCCAACATAAGCCGTCATCGATTCGCCACTTCTCGCTCCATATAGGAGCGTTCCTTATCTCCCAGAAATAGTCAGAAAAAGTCCGAAGTAGTCAGAAGAATTTTTTCTGGCAAAATCCTGAAAAGTGTCAAACTCAACTAAATTTAAATTAACGGAAATTAAAGAATACGCAAAAAGTGAGAATAATCTAAAAAGTAAAAAAAGTGAATTGAAANCATTTTGCTTACGCTCTGGCATTTTGACACTTCAGATTTTAGTCCAAAAAGATAAGGAATGAACCTTATGTTTGAGTTCCGGTCGCTTAAAGAAGAATTTTGCATGTGAAAGCAACAACAAAGTTAGCTAGCACTGATCAGAGCTGGGTCGTAATGATTCCTTTAGGAATTAAAATTACTCCCAATTACAGATTACAAGGAATTGTAATTAGGAATCAATT